TTCCCAGCTTTCGAGACAGAACAGTCTCTCCTGACACAATTGCCCCGTATTGCTCTTGTTGGCACCACGTCTCTTCCTCTGCTAACAAGCCCAGCCCTTCCTTTTGGAGAACTACCCTCACCCACTCTGTTACCGTCGGTGGAAGAGAAGAGCCAGTTGATTCAAGAATGGTTTGAACTGGTGTGGTGAACGTGCCTATGTAAGGTGGGGGCAGGGCAGAGTTTGAGGCCAGCCAGCGCCACACAGTGGATTCCATACAGGTCTGGGATGTATGTTAAAGCAAACAGAATAGAGTGTTGCATGGTGGCGCACACACCTTTAATCCCAGCTATTCAGGGTGCTAGAGTCAGGAGGGCTGAAGATTCAAGGCCGGCAGGGGTGATTAGCAAGACTGTCTCAAAGTAAAATATGACCAAAATATTTAAAATATTTCTAAAATATTTTTAAAAAGGAATCATCTGCCATCAGCATGGTGGTGCACACCTTTAACCCCAGCACTCCAGACGAAGAGGCAGACGGATTGCTGTGAGTTCAAGGCCAGCCTGGCTTACAAAGCAAATCCAGGACAGCCAGGGCTACACAGAGATACCCGGTCTCAAAAAACCAGAAAATAAAAAAATTAAAAAAAAAAAAAAAAAAAAAAGGGAATCATCTGGATGCTGGGGAGATGGCTCAGACGTTAAAAGCACTTGCTGCTCTTCCAGAAAATCCAAGTTTGATTCCCATCACACCTACAGTGGCTTGTAGCCATCTGTAACTCCATTTCCAAGGGTCTGATGACCCCTTCTGGCCTCCATGAACTCTGCATGCATGTGGTGTGCATATATGCAGACCAAAATACCTGTACACATAAAATAAAAGTGAAGATGTGTGGGTACTAGTCTGACATACTTTGGGCCAGTGAGGCCGTTCTGGGAATTTTGTGAAGCACTAGGCTGGCAGGATTTAAGTGTGTCACTACCAGCAGGGGAGGAGACAGAGAGAGCTGGAGGGGAAAGAAAGTCAAGAAGACAGTGAACGTCTAGATTAAGTCATAGGGTAGCGTTGACCTTCTTCTTCTTTTTTTTTTTTTTTTTTAACAGACATACTTTTCTAGCATGGGCAAGGCTAGAAGGGGAAGGGCTTGAGGAGGCAGAGGTGGAGTGGGAGGAGATGAAGGGAGGGTGGAGTGGAAGTGACAAGCTTTCAGAACCACTGTTACACGGGGTTAGAACCTAATAAAAATCTATTTAAAACCTCAGCTACGGTTCAGTTAAAAGGTATCACTGGGAGCTTACAAGCAAGGCTTGACCACGCATCTCTGTGGGGAAAGGAAAAGCTACCCACAGGCACCTTGCTTCAGAGAGAATAAGCAATGCCTCTCTGTCGTAAAGCTGTTCCTGGGAATGTCTTCTCAGATTCCTTGCCGGATCTTACCAAGGTTTAATCTTAAGGAATCACAGGGCGGAATCAATTCTTCCTTCGGTTTGTTAGCCTGCCAGGACACAATCTCTCTCCGTCCCTGTGGAACCTGTCATTAGGTTTGTGTGCCAGGCAGCCATCTTACCAGGGGAGCCATTTTACCAGCCTGTTTGGATTCTTTCTGCTGCTCCTTAAGCATGGGTCTGTGTGATGGAGGCTTGACAGTAGTGCCTCCTTCAGCACTCTCTGTCCCTCAATAAACGCGGGGCTCCATCTTCACCGCGATATTTTGTGACATTCCTCCCAGTCCTGGCCTGTTTAATTGTCTGTCTTAACTCTGTCACCTCTATGAAGACAGAACCCTATTGGGTCTTGCTCTATTGCATTCCCAGGAGCCAGCACTATGGGGCATGTAAGAAATGCATAATTTATCATTGGTTTTAGCTTGTGACACGTCTGATGTTAAATTTACTGTTTCTCCAAGGATGTCTGAGCTCCTAACCCAGTTTTCAGAGTAGGACTCAATTTGTCTGTCTTTCTCTCCCCCCCGTGTCTGGGTCTCTTAATCTATACTTTATCATTGTTCCCGTACACAGTATCATCTGGAGAGACTTTCTCGAAAAACTAAATTTGAAAACCATGCCCCATCCAGCCCCGCTTCAAAGAAGTCGTCGCCCCAAATTTGATAAATAAATAAATGAATGAAACAGCACACGCAAATAGCACAGGTTAAATACTCTGTCCGGTGCAAAGGTTGTTATCGCCCGGAGTCTAAGTGGGAAGGACACCACAGGCTTTCTGCAGTGGCTCGGAGTCTGAGGCACCGGGTCCAGCCTCCCTGCCCGAGGCCCCACCCCCGAGGCGCGCCCTCAGCCATCGGAAGTGACATCACCGCATGGCAACCGTTGCTAAGGAGCGGTCTCTAGGAACCCGCTAGGGCCCGGGTGCCTCTCCGGGGGTGGGTAAGTGGTTTCGTGAGGAGAATTTGAGGTAACCCCGCCAACTCGCGGTCGGAAACACCGCGAACCCCGAGTCCCCTCGCAGTGCGCCCGCTCCCGGCAGGCGGCGGCACCAGGGCCTGCTCGGGGGTTGGTCGGTCGGTCGCGCGGGGCCTGGTGGGCGCGGGGTCCCCGGTCCCCTCGGCCCTGGGGCTCGCAGGAGGCCGTGGGCCTGCGCGCGCTGCCCCGACCGTGCCGGATGAAAGGCGCGTCCTGGTTTTAATTCCTGCCCCGGCCCCCTGGGTGCTGCCGCGGGTGAGTGCTGGCGAATTAGCGCGGCCAGTTGCGCCGGCAGAGGGAGAGTAATTGCTTTTGCTAATTTTAGCCCTCAGCGCCCGCCGGGCACCGGCAGCCTACCTGTTCAAGAACATCTTTGCTCTCTGAAAGCTGGTGGGCGACCCGGGGTGCGGGAACCCCAACTGAGTTCTTTCTTTAAGGAAAAGTTTCGGGTTTTTTCCTGTTTAAGTTGGCAATATTAGTTATGTATAATGGGTACCATTATACCATCCTCACACGTGCATACAGTGTATTTCGGTCGTCCCCACCCCATCTCTCGCTCTTCACCCTCCCACCCCCAGTGATTTCTTTTCCATTCCCCAACTCCTCTCCCTTCGACTTCCATGCACACTCCCCCCTCGCCCCTTTCATTTTTGGTGGCCCCATAAGTTTAATTATGGTTTCTTTCAGAATCATGTGTTATTTACCGGCGGTACACCTCTGAAGAAAATGCCTTTCCCTCCCCTAGCAACCATCACCTGCCTGTAAATACTGTTAGCCTCCAGAACGCCGCTTTTCTTCTTTCTTCTTACCAACATTTTACTCATTTATCCAGATACTTGGTTTGACTCCGTGTTTTCAAAAGAAGAAAAAGTTGTATTTATAATTTCTAAATTGTTTTAAATTAAATATGTAGATATAAAAATATGTATTAATGTATTTTTACAGTTGAAAACTTGAACCTCCAAAGTTTAAAAAAATAAAGCTATTCTATTCTTTTTTCTCTCTCTCTTTTTCACTTGTTTATGAGACAGGGCTTCTCCGTGTAGCCCTGGCTGTCCTGGAACTCACTCTGTAAACCAGGCTGGCCTCCAACTCAGAGATCCTCCTGCTTTTGCCTGCTAACACTGAGATTAAAGTCTCACACCACTATCCCCAGTCCAGGATATTCCTTTTATAAAAGCTTAAAAGAAACCCTAAATTTAGAAGCCATACTGGTTATGCTATCCCTTTTGTTTTTTACTTTTTACAGTTTTATTTACTCATAATTTATTATAAAATTGTAATAGCTTTAGTTTTAGTGTTGTTTGTTTGTCTTCTAAATGTAAGCTTCACCTACCCAATTAAGGAACCTATTTCATGCCAGGCTTGGTGGCCCTTGATTTTTATCCCATCACTCAGGAGGCAGAGGTTTGGTCTACACAGTGAGTTCCAGAGCAGCCAAAACTATATAGTGAAACAGTTTTTTAAAGGAGTATGGACATACGTATTTAGAGCAGGATGTTCATGGCCTAACTTTATGTCTTGAGTGAAATAGTATTGATTTCAGAGTCTCAATAAGAAAGCATTGAGATAACTTTTTTCTTCTTTTGCCTCATCTTTTCTAGTTTAATAGGGTCTTACTGTGTAACCCAGGCTGGCCTCAAACTTTGACCCCTTCTGTCTCAGCCTTCCCAGTTCTGGGCTTACAGATGTGTGGCACCATACTCAGGACTAGCAGTTCAGTTTTATTGATGTGGTGGTAGTTTTGACGAGGTCTCAAGTGGCCCAGGCCACTTTGACCTCACTAAGTAGCCAAGGGTCACCTTGCACTTCTGATCTTCCTGCTTCTACCTCCTGAGGGCTGGCATCACAGGCAGGTGCAACCACATCCAGTTTATTCAGTTCTGGGAACCAAACCCAGGGCTTCCTACATTTTAGGCAAGCCCTAAATCCCCAGCCCAGCAGTTCATTTTAGTAAAGCAGTTTTCCTTGGTAAAACTGTTCCAACAGTTAAGAAATCGGATACTCAATTTTTAATTCAAACTTTGGAAGATAATGTGTAAACATTTGTTTATTTTATATGTATGAATGTTTTGCATGCATTGTGTATGTGCAGCATATGCGTGCCTGATGTCCATGATGTTCAGAAGAGGGGGTTGGATCCCCTGGAAACAACGCAGTTAGGGATGGCTGTGAGTCACCATGTGGGTTCTGGGAACCAAACCTCAGGTCCTCTGCAAGAGCAACAAGTGCTCTCAGGTGCTGAGCGCTCTCTCCAGTCCCAGATACTAAACTTTTTAAGGTTATGGTCTTTCGTAACAGCCCTATTTCCTTCAGGCTTCAGCTTCTGGGCATTTTGTTTGTTTTGCTTTTTGGCTTGAGGCCTGTGAAAAAGTTCATGCATGTCTCATAGAAGAAATCACTGGTTCAGGCCCGATGTGTATTCAAAATGGAATTGAATCGATCCTCATAGAATGTACAGTTTAGCAAAGAGAAAAAGAATGTGTACCTGAGAGACTTGAACAGCATTGAAAGTGGCCTAAGGAAACCACGCAGATGGTGTGGTGGGCACGGAGGGTGGGTTCTGCTGTTGCAGAACTTGAGGATTTCCTGAGAGAACCTGTGCCCAAGCAGGGCCGTCAGAGGGGTGAGATCTGTCCCTGCAAAGGAGGGCAGAGGAGGAGCAGTCATGCTCAGCAGAGAAAACAGCATTAATTGAACGTAGGTGGAAGCAGAAAGCAGTGACTGGCTGAAGTTTCAGAGTGAAAGGTTAAGCTGAGCTAGATCATAAAGGTCTTGAGATCTAAGGGGTTTAGGCTTTATTTCATAAGAAATGAGAAGCTTACAAATGACTGGGGATGAGAGAGGTGCAAGCCAAAATACCAGAGACTGTTTCCTCATTGAAGGTAAAAGGAAACCAAGGCCTAAAATACCTGGGGTGGCAGAGTTGAGGTCTTCCAGGCTAACCCAGTAATAGAAATGGGTGGAAAGTGGAGGAGACCTAAACTGTACTAAAGAATAGGCCTGGGCTGAAGTGTATGTGTGATCACTATTTGCTTTCTGTGATTGAAATTAAGTACAAATATAGCCTCAAGGTTGCCTAATCCGAATTTCAAAGGGAACAAGATTTGGATTTTACCATGAAAATCTGATGTTTTAAATGTAGTTACCAATGTGAAAAAATAAAACAAAACCAAAAGCAGAGGTCTTAGTGTGGGTGGGCTAATTATTACTTATTTGCCTGTGTTTAGGTGTATCAGAGCTGTTGCAAGTACAAAAGCAGATACTGAATATTAACAGCAGATACAGATTTCATAGTAAAATCTTCATACTCTAGTTTCTTCCAACAAAACTAGCCTTTTCATAGATTTTGTATGCAGTACAGAAGTATATCTTTCCATCTACTTCCTGTGACTTTATTATGATTCTCCCCTAATACTTGAGCTACCAAGATTAAGGATCCCCCTCCTCTTTTTTCCCTTCCTCTTTAGTTTTAAGCTACAAGACTTAATCATGAGTGACCAAATCAAATTCATCGTGGACAGCCTCAATAAGGAGCCTTTCAAGAAGAACTATAATTTAATCACATTTGATTCCTTGGGACCAATGCAGCTATTACAAGTTCTCAATGATGTTCTGGCTGAGATCGACCCCAAGGTAATCTCTTCCTTTGTAATGAAAAGTGTGGCAGGACAGCCCTCCTGGCCTCTAACTAACTGATGTCTATGTCTGGGTCTCATTTACCCTGCTTGGAGAGGAGCAGTATATGATCCTATAGGCCTCTCTACTAACTCACATATCAGTTATCTACTTAAGGTTTTTTTTTTTTTTTTTTTTTTTTTTTTTTTTTTTTTTTTTTTTTAAGATTTATTTATTATATAGTATTCTGTCTGCATGTATGCCTGCAGGTCAGAAGAGGGCACCAGATCTCATTATAGATGGTTGTGAGCCACCATTGGTTTCTGGGAATTGAACTCAGGACCAGTGCTCTGAGCCTCTGAGCCTTCTCTCCAGCCCAAGGTTTTTTTTGTTTTGTTTTGTTTTTTGTTTTCCATTTAATTTATTCTGTGTGCTTGTGTGTGGGCATGTACATGCTGTCAAACTGGTGTGGAGGTCAGAGGGCAACCTGCCAGCATCAGTTCTCTTCTACCATGTGGGTTCCTGTGACCAAGCTCGGATTACCAAGCCTGGTGACAGACCCATTGAGCCATTTCACTGGCCCCTCTGTTATCTCCTTGCACCTTATTTAAACATTATTTCTCTCCTTGTAGACACACATAGATTTGCTCCTGGTATAAAGGTGCATTTTATTGTATTGCAAGTTAGTACGTGTCTTTTATACCCTTGCCCATAGACTTTGGCATTCTAACTAGAGCCCTGTTCTGACTAGGGATCCAGGGCCCTGTACTTAATCTGTTTTATGAAGAGAGCATTGTGCCTGCTAAGCTTGAGCAGAACAAGCTTGTCGATGAATTTAAATATTTCTCTTTGTTAAATATACAACAATGACATCTTTTTCAATTTCTTGTTTGTTAGCAAGATGTTGATATCAGAGAGGAGATGCCAGAGCAGACAGCCAAACGGATGTTGAACCTTCTTGGTATCCTTAAATACAAACCTCCGGGAAATGCCACAGACATGTAAGAATCTGCTCACATACCGTGCTTTCTTAAAGCTCTGCTTTAAAGGCCAAACTCCAGATGCTACAATTGGTCTTTTTAAGCAACACCTGGTCCTCCCTCATCTGATGGCCGTAGGCTATCACAGAATTTGACAACAGTTTTAATCCTTCTGATGCTGTTTGTCACATAGAAGTCTTAGGTGGGTCAGTGCTTCCCCTCTGGCCAGAAAGTCAGGCAAATACCATTTTATGATTTATGTCATTCTAGGTAAAAACAACTCTAGGGCTGGAGGGTGGGCTCAGTTAACCGTGTTTGCTGCTCCTCCCGAGGACCTGAGTTTGGTAGCTCGCAACCACCTACAACTCCAGCTCCAATGTATCACATGCTGTTCTCTGGTCTTTCAGGGCATACACACATGGACACAAACATATAGGCACAGACACACATGCTCCTGCATGCACACACAGCATATACTTATACAAATATACACATTCACATAATTGAAAATAAGTCTTAAGAAACCAAAGCAACTTAAATGTTGCCTAGCCAATGAAGTATTAAAGTTAACTCTCTGATTAATGGTCTCAACACAACTTTTTGGGTATTTTAGTGCTATATTGAGGATCTAATTTTCTGACTAATGTAAGACTGCTTTAGCCTTGTGTCTGTAGTCTAAAAGTAGCTAGATAAATCAGTAAGGACCCTCTAGATGACACTGTGAATAAAGGCTGTCTCCTCCAGCTGAGCTGATGAGCGTCTGTGCGTGTTTCCATTTCAGGAGTACCTTTCGTCAGGGTCTGGTGATTGGAAGTAAGCCTGTGATTTACCCAGTGCTCCACTGGCTTCTTCAGAGGGGTAATGAACTAAAGAAAAGAGCATATTTAGCTCGTTTTTTAATAAAACTGGAGGTGCCGAGTGAGTTTCTTCAAGATGAAACTGTGGCTGACACCAATAAACAGGTATACAGTGATCATAGCTGCTCTGTTAAATGTTAGTCTCTCTTTGTTATCTTAGAGTTCCAAGTGACATCAGAAGGGAAACAATATCAGCTGATGGTCAGCTGTAGTCATGTCTAAAACAATGACTTTGACCCACAAGTACTGTATAGAGATAGGACCGTGTGGATAGCAGGTGGAGATGGTCAAGTACTTTCTTTACTGAGTAAATCCAGGTAGGTAGACTCGTGGGCTTGAGACTGCAGAGCACTGTGCTGCTCAGCAAGGCAATTACATAGTTTGTCATCCAATTGAGAGAGAAACCGGTTGTCATAATTACCCTAGGACAAATGATGGCTATTCTACTGTCTCTGGCCAGTGGAACAGTGTAGCTGAGCCAGGCCTGCAGCCTCTTCAGGAGAGACAGTAATGGAAGTTTGAAATTGCAGTGCATTTCCTCACCAACACTGGATTCTGACCTCAGGTCTTTAAGCTCTTGGCTACTGAGGATTCGGGCTGGTCTGGGTCCTGGGTCATGTCTCAAAGTACTTGGCTGACCAAAGACTGAAGAAACAAAGAGACCTGGGTAGATTTCTAAGAATGTTAGTTTTTTTTATACTTTCATTTCATAGTAGTTAGGTTGATTTGGGTCATTTTGTTACAAAGCTTGTCAATCTGTCCTTTCCAGTAGACTATGAGGTCCCATGGAGACAGGCTTCAAGTTTATGCTGTCTGTCTTTGTTTTCCTCCAGGGTTTGGTATAATGGCTTCTGTATGTTGGTTGCTTAGTATTTGGCCTGAATCAAAACAATGAACTGAGTACTTTTATTTTTCATCTGTGTATTGTTACAGCTGTCACTAAAAATATAGTTAATATTGATATCTTAAAGCTGCAGCTATAGAAGTAGAAAGGCAAGTGCCATAGCAGGAAACAGGGATGTGTAAGTGTGGAGTGTCTCCTCCCTCCCCACCCCTTCCTAAATGGGTTCGTATAGACCACAGAGACCGCTAGAAGGGATTTTAAGAGATTGTATTTTGAGTATGTGTTTGGCATGTATTTGATAATGTAAATAATTTTAGAGGAAGTTTATTAATAGTATCTTTTAATAAGCTCAGCTAATTAAGGGGATAAAAGGTAACGAAGATGTTGTTCTTGAAGCATGTCTGAGAAGTATATGTATTTAAAAAGAGACACATTTAGCCATTAGTCATTCAGCAAAAACACTAATAAAAATTGTATGTTGTCTTTCTGAATGAAAAACTTTAGAATGAATACTTTGTAGATGTATAGCATATGATGAGTCACAAATATTAATTTTCTGGTATTGCCACTTAAAAAACTACTGTGGTGTGTGTGGTACTAGAGGTTGACCTACCCATGCTAGGTGAAAAGTGTCTGCCACTGTCCTACACCTTTAGACCTTAGATTGTCATTCATTTCACAATGAGGCTAGCAGCTGTGTGTGGTATTTTTCCTTAACTTCACTCCTCTGTATTACACACCTATGCAGATTATGTCCCATAGTATGCCCTGGCATTGTGAAGGTGTATATATAACAAATAGGCTTCCTGTCCTCCTGTCTCATGCTACTTCCTGAAAGGAGCCAGATAAGTAATACTGTGTTATGACATGATATCTACTCTAATAGAAAGGGCCAGAGCAGGCTTCTCTGAGAATAGTGATGTCTCTGCCGCTCTTCATTGGGATGAATTTGTTACCCAGGTTAGGAGGGCGCAAGCTGTGAATGTTCTCAGAGAGCAGAGGAAAGGTAACCTGAAGGTGGGTGTGCGGACTGTTCCAGGGTCAGCATGGCTAGAGGGTTAGACTGAGAACCAAAGTAGCCAGAGAAAGATTTATTGAGGTGACCATGCGGATCTTGTTTTCTATCTGCTGCATAGCTTACGAAAGTGTGAGGGATTTGTTTTGTTTTGTTTTTGAGACAAAGCCTTGATATGTATGTAGCCCATGCTGACCTCACACTCATCATCCTTCTGCCTCAGCCTTCCAAACCCTAGAATTACATTTATGCACCATAATGTTTTTAGTGTTGTTCTTCTAAGGACTGAAGTGATTGCTGCTATGTAGAGGGCAGCTTGAGGAAGAGAACACTGCTGGATGCAGGTAGCTAGTAACCTGTTAACTTCTTCTTTTAGTATGAAGAGCTGATGGAAGCCTTTAAAACTCTGCATAAAGAATGTGAGCAGCTCAAAACATCTGGATTTTCTACAGCAGAAATAAGAAGGGTAAAGAAATGCCTGTTTGGACTTAAATAATTCTGTGTTTGGCCCTTTTATTTTAGTTAATTCAGCATGATTTTTTTGTTGTTGTTTGTTTGTTTGTTGTTTTTTGAGACATGGTTTCTCTGTGAATGTAGCCTTGGCTGTCATGGACTCACCTTGTAGACCAGGGTGGCCTCAAACTCACAGAGATCCACCTGTCTCTGCCTCCACAATTGATGGGATCACAGGTGTGCGCCAGCGCGCCCAGCTTCAGCATAAGTATGGAAACTTAGGTATATGACCACTTTCGTAGGACCTTTAGTATGATGTGTATATGTGTTTGTGTATAAACATATGTATCCATGTGTATGCATGTGAAGCCAGAGGACATCTGGAGTCTTTCTCTTCTCGCCACATGAGTTTTTAGGCAGAATCTCTCCCTGAACCTGAACCCTAGGCTAGTCTGACTGTTCAGCAGGCTCTCAATGTCTGTCAGTCTCCAACCCCAGCACTGGAGTTAGAGGCACACTGAGCCATGCCCACCTTTTCCTTCGTAGTTCTTTTTTTTTTTTTTTCCCCACATTATTGTTTCTCACAGTGATTTACTTTTACTTTGGATTGTTTTATTGTTTGTTTTTTTCCTGAGACAGGGTTTCTCTGTGTAGCCTTGGACTCACTTTGTAGACCAGTTCTGGTCTGGAACTCACAGAGATCTGCCTGCCTCTGCCTCCCTGAGTGTGGGGACTAAGGGCATGCACCACCATGTCTGGCTCCTTTGTAGTTCTTTACTGAAGAAATCAACAAGGGCAATGAGTTTATGCTGACAACTAGCAGGGATTTAAAAACACTTCACTTTGAATCTTTATTTGATATGTGTTCCTTACATGATACAGAAAATGCAGCGAAGAAGAAAAAGTTGCATTGTGTATATATGAGAACATAGAATACATAATTACCCCCCCATCTTGTTTTTTTTTAATGAAGGCTAGAGAACTGACTGCTTCAGGTGTCATCTTCAGGGTACCATCATCCTCCTTACAGACAGGGTTTCTCATTGGCCTGAAGCTCACTAATCAGGTTAGACTATCTGACCAGAAAGGCTCAGAGACCCTCCTGTTTTTATCCCCCAGTGCTGAGATTACGAGTGTGCCACCACACCTGCTCGTTGTGGAGGTGCTGGAGAATAGGACTTATCTCGGGTCCTGGGTCTTGTTTCCTTGGCAAGCTTTACCAACTGAGCCATTTCACAGTCTCACTGCTTTAAAAATTTTTTAAAAAGATTTGTCTTGATTATTTCTGAAGAGTGTCTATGTGTGTATCTGTGGGTGTACATGCATGTAAGCATAGATGTCTACAGAGTTCAGAGAAGGATGTTAGGTCCGCAGAGCTGGAGTTGCAGGCAGTCGCGAGCAGCCTGCCATGGTTGCTGGCAACCAAACTTGGGCATGCATCCTCTTAACTATTGAACGATCTCTCCAGACCCTTGTTGTTTTTAATTATTACATTATGAATTTATTTTCATTGTTATAGGAATGACCAAATTTGTTTTCTGATATGCATATACATTAATCATGTTTACACTTTGACTTCATTTTTTGTGTGTGTGTGTTTTTTTTTTTTTTGTTTGTTTGTTTTTTTGGCTTTTATAAATAATGCCATGATTATCAATATAACTTTTGTATGGCTGGGTTAGTTTCTTTACAGCAATTTTTAGATGTAAAATTGCTTATTAATGAACAGTAAATTATTTTAGGGCTTTTAATACACTTAAGAAAATATTTTAATATTCTGCCCAGGCATTTAAATACTTTCCTTAAAGACTTGCTATTTTGACTTGCATGAATCTTGTATTTTTAGAATTCCTGAGTTATGAGTGCTATCTTTATATTCTCATTAAATCGGGGACATCAAAGTTTCTTCCTCAGGGAAGCCGTCCCTGACTCCCTAAATAGATCATGTTCCCTAGTTCTTTTCCTGTTATGGCATTCATTGCCCTTATAATTGCCTTAATGTCTGTCTTTCTAAATGCATGAAGCCCTAAGAAGGCAAGGACTGTGTCTGTGTGTCTTCACCGCTGTATTCCCAACACCTGCCACAGTGCTTGGTGTATGGCAGGCCTCAGTAGGCCTTTGGTGAATACTAGAAATGGAGGTGACCTGTACCCTGATAGATAAGGACCAGTGAGAGAAGGGTGTCCATCTCCTGTCCTCTGCTGTGTTCTGGGAACGAAGTACAGTGATGAAAGAATCCAGAGTCTGAGCAGTGGCACACTCCTGTCATCCCAGCACTCAGGGAGGCAGAGGCAGGCGGATCTCAGTGACTTCAAGACTAGCCTTCTCTACAAACTGACTCCAGGACAGCCAAGGCTACACAGAGAAATCCTGTCTTGAAAACAAAAACAAAAAAATTGAGACTCTGATTTTTATTTCATTCATTATTACTAAATATTCTTGAACCTAGTCTCTGTAGCAGATTGAGAAAACATGGGTTTAAGAAGAAATAGAAAGGAGTCCACTCACAGTCACATGCTTTCGAGATACCAGCTGTTGACAGTTTTACTTGGAATTGGACTATATATCACTATTGTAATTTGATTCTTTCAAGCAGTGTTATTTCATGACTTTTTCTCATGTCATTAAACAGTCTTCTGCACCATTTAAAATTTCATTTTGTTACAGTGTAGTTAATCATTGTCAGATATTTATACTCTTTCAGGTTTTAGCTTCATTGACATCAGTAAGAATCCTTATAGAAAAGTCTGACTTTAAGTGAATATTCTTATCACATTTATTTATCATTTACTCATTCATTCGTGTTTGTGTGTGTGTATCGCACATGTGCGTGTGTACTTGTGGAAGTCAGAGGACAACTTATGGAAATTAATTCTCTTTCCACCATGTAAGTCCAAGAATTGGTCTCAGGTTGTCAGGCATGGTACCAAGTACCCTAACCCAATGAGCTGTCTTGTTTGCCTTTCTGTACATTCTACTAGAACACCCCATGTGTAGAGTTCCTAACCTGAAGGGATGCATGTTTATCTTTCGACTTCTTACATTATTCTTTAACACAACACTATCAATAGTGAATAAGAGTGCCCATTCCCTGAAATCCTACCAATTATGGCTATCATTGTATAGATTACCTATAGTATTTCTGCATGAGTTTTGGGGTTTTTTGTTTGTTTAGAAAGAAAATTTGCTTCTCTGTTTTCATTACAAACTGTTGTAGAGTTTATTAAAAGAAGGTAATTAATTTTATTTTTTCTTTTCAAGGAGAAAATTGGTTAATTAACAAAACTATACACATTTTTTTTCCCTTTGGGAGACAGTGTTTCTTTGTGTAACAGTTCTGGCTGTTCTGGAAGTTGCTTTGTAGACCAGGCTGGCCTCAAACTCAGTGTCTGCCTCCTGAGTGCTGGAATTAAGGGCATGCATCACTATGCCTGGCCTTTTTTGTTTTTTGTTTTTTTGAGGCAGGGTTTCTCTGTGTAGCTTTGGATGTTTTGGAACTTGCTCTGTAGACTAGGCTGGCCTTGAACTCACAGAGATCCACTTGCCTCTGCCTCCTAAGAAGAAAGGTTTATGCCATCACTGGCAAGCTTCAGTTTTATAGCTTAAGAGTACCATAGTGGCACGTGCTTTTAATCCTAGCACTTGAGAGGCAAAGGCAGGAGGATATCTTGAGTTTGAGGTCAGACTGTTCTACAGAGTAAGTTCCAAGAAAGTCAAGGTTATATTGGGAGACCCTGTCTCAAAAATCAAATCAACCAAACAAAAAAGCCCCACCATAACTTTAAAAATAGTTTTAATGGGAAAATAGCAGGATATGTGGTTTGGTATTTAACAGAGCAGATGGGATGTCAGCAGCTGTTCATGTATTTAGACCTGCACACATTTTATTATGGAAGATTTTTGAAGAATCATGTAGCCATATTTGGAATCAGAACACAAGTGTGCTGGCTGGCAGCTTTACCTTGCTGCGTTATAAACTGCTTTAGTTGCTTTTCTAGATGAATGCCACACTGCCAAAAAAAAAAAAAAAAAAAAAAAAATCCTGCATAAAGAAGCCTGGGAGGAAATGAAGATGCCCTTAAATTAAAAGAGGATCCTTGTTACTTGCTCCTGTGGTTATGATGGGATGGTAGGGGCTCATGCAGGCCTCTCCTCAATCTTGTAGACTCAGTGTTTTTAATGGCCTCTCCACTACTTTTTAGGATATCAGCGCAATGGAGGAGGAAAAAGACCAGCTCATGAAGAGAGTTGAGCGTTTGAAAAAGAGGGTAAGTCTAGAATTACCCTGTAGACTTCAGCCCCAGTCTCAAGGACTGGCAGAGATTTAGGAATGCAAATAAAGATTGAGCCAGGCATGGGCTTCCAGTGGAGGATGGACTCAAGTAACACTGAAGGGAAGGGAGTCTCCCAGGCAGGAGCCCAAAGCTTTCAAGAACCTGGACTTGAAAGCTTGGCTGTCATCTCTGGGGAGTACTGTTTACCAAGAGGAAATGATAAGTGGGTGTTGGAGTCATGTGACCTGCTAATGCCTTTCTTGAACGTGACAGTAACATGTACTACTTATTCTCTTACTGTAGGTGGAGACTGTTCAGAATCATCAGCGAATGCTTAAAATAGCAAGACAGCTTCGAGTTGAGAAAGAGAGAGAAGAATTTCTTGCACAACAGAAACAGGAACAAAAGAATCAGGTAGCCACAGGAAATTTATACTCAGGATCACAGATGTAGCTCCTCTTGGTAATTCAAGTAAAAAAAAAAAAAAAAGAGAGAGAGAGAGAGAGAGAATTTTAAATTTCACCTTTTATTTTGGTAGCATGATGGACCTACTTTTTTCTTTAGGACTGCTGTGGTTTGTGTGTATGTGTATGTGTGTGTATTTTGCTGGGAATCAAACCAGTGGCCTTGCTCCTGCTAAATAAGTACTGTATGATTGAGCTATATCCCCAGTCAAGACGACTGTGTTTTCTTTCTTTCCATTTCTTTTTTTCTTTTTATGCAGTATTTGAGAATTGAACCTGAGGCACATGCTAGACAAGCACTTTACAGCTGAGGTATATCCCCAGCTTTCTTTTTACTTTTTATTTTGAGATATGATTTCCTAATTTGCCACTGGAATAAAATGTACAAGGTTCTGTGATCAATGAAACCAAAAGAACATCCTTCCTGCCTCAGTCTTTACAGTAGGGTGCCCTGTAAAGACTCTGCTCCGTTAGCAGCTAATCTTGCTGCTGCACAATAGAGTGAGCCGTAGGAACACCGTGAGCCAACCGCAGTCCAAAACACAGTGCTTACACATGATGTGGAGCCCCAAGTAAGCTGTTGCTGCTGTTGACAGCGTCACAAAATACTGTTAAATCAGAACCGGGGGTCTCAGGGTCACCCACACTGCCATGCTCTTAAACTTTGCCTTAAGGAAGAAATTATTTGGTCTGAGGGTATTAATTTATTAAAAATGTGTCTTAAACTTCAAGCAAGTGTTTCAAATCAGTGTAATTTCTAAATTGCCAATTTAAGCTGGCAGCTGAGATGTTTAGCTCTGTGAAAGCTTGAGTTGGCAGTACAGCATTTGCACTGCAGCAGTGGGTTTTGTTTCCTGAGCCTCCTCCGATGGTTATTTGAAGTCCTTTTCTGATGTTGAGGCCTTACTGAAAATGTTAACATTTTTTTTAGGGTCAAGAAAACTATGTTACAGAAGGAAAGGCATACATCTCTGAAAAAAATAGTTTTCTTTAAAAAAAATTTAATATTTTATTTGTTTATTTAGAGACACGCTATTCCTATATAGTCCTGGCTGTCCTGGAGCTGGCTATGTACACTGGCATTGAACACTCCCAAGTGGTGGGATGAAAGGACATACCACCATACCCAACCAAAGAGTTTTCTTTAATCACTACCTTAAACAGTAACTAAAGACAAATGTTATGGAAGAAGTTTTAAATTTGCTTAAGGGCTAGATAGATGATGGTTTAGTAGATAGGAGCGCATGCTGCTCTTGCAGAAGATCCAAGTTTGGTTCTAAGCACCCGTGTAGTATGGCTCACAACTTCTGTAACTAATTCCATGGGATCTGATACCCTTTTCTGGTCTCTGGGCACCTGTCTGCAGTGATACACATGCATACACTCATGTGTATGCACTCGTGTATGTGAATACTCAAGCACACATTCAGGCATACACACACACACATAAAAGTTTATATTTTCATGAAAATATATTGAGAATACTAGTTATACTTATGGCTTAATGCAGTTTTTTTTTTTTTTTTTTTTTTTAGTATTTACCTGTTTCTTCTGTGGCATAGGAATCTCCTATTTCTCATTGCTTGCCAATATGAGCATGTTTCACTAGACTGAGCAAGTAATAAATTGAATTGTTTTTTTAAAGCTATTTCACGCAGTGCAGAGATTGCAAAGAGTGCAAAACCAGCTAAAAAGTATGCGGCATGCTGCAGCGGATGCAAAGCCTGAAAGTAAGTGAAGTTATTACATGATGTAGATGATTAGAAAATAGTAGTTTACAAAGGGATATTTCTTAAAATGATTGGTGGAAATTATTTCATTTCTTATCTGGTCAAAGGGAATCCTGCAAAAAACATCTATGGGTTTTCAAAACATTTTTCTACCTCCTATTTTCAGCCAAGGGCTGAAAGTAATATTAACTGTGAAAGTATGCTCTTCCCTGTGTGTTTAGCATGGGTGTTGTGAAAAAGATGGATGGGAAAAATATGAATCCATCTCAAGGCTAAAAAGAAAAAGAATTAGGGCTGGAGAGATGGCTCAGAGCTTAAGAACACTAGCTGTTCTACCAAAGGTCCTGAGTTCAATTCCCAGCAACCACATGGTGGCTCACAACCATCGATAGTGAGATCTGGTGCCCTCTTCTGCCCTACAGGCACACATGCAGTACAGAATACTGTATAAATAAATAAATAAATCTAAAAAAAAAAAAAGAAAGAAAAAGAATTAAATACTATACCTCAAAGCCGAGTGTTTTCTATGGCTGGGTTTGTAGAATAACAGGACCAATAATGTGGTGTCCGTGGCTGAATTCTTGGAAGCTTTGCAGAGCTCTTTTCACAATCCACTTAACCTATCTCAGGCATTTTGAAAGTGTTTTGCTCATCAGAAAGGAGATTGTAAAAGCTAAGAGAGCTATACCAAGCTCTTATCTGTGTTGGAGAAATATTACAATGCAAATATATAGCTAAGGGAGGGATAGTAACCTATAAATAGTACATAGGATACATAGGATAACAGCAACAAAAGTCATAGACAATCATAGGTGTTGGCAAAGATGTACAGAAATTAGGACCCTCGTATTTGTTCCTGAAAATGTAAATGATATAGCTGCTTTGAAAAACAGTTTAGAAATTCCTCAAAATGCTAAAAATTGTAGCTATATGAACTTGTAATTTCTTTTTCTTTTTAAACATGTATTTGTGAAGATTACAGTGTGAGTATAGGGGTCAAGATGACAACTTGTGGGAGGTGGTTTTCTCCTCCTACTGTGTGGGCTCCAGAGATCAAATTTAGGTTGTTAGACCTGATGACAAGGACCTTGACTTGCTGAGCCATCTCACCAGCTCTTGAGTTATTTCTAATCTTAGGCATATACTTAAGAGATGTAAAACATCTATTCACGCAAAAACTTGAACATACATGTCTATAGTAGAATTATTTGAAATAAGCAAAAAGTCGAAGTAACCCATATGTTCCTAAAATGATGGTATATCCTTACAATGGAATATTACTGTGCCATCAGAGTGAGAGAAGTACTAATATGTGTTTATGACATAGATAAGCCTCAAAAAGGTAACTTAAGAAACCAGTCACAAAAGACTGTATGTTGTACAGTACTATTTATAAGATGTATCGAAGATAAGAAATCTGTAGAGGTAGAAATCAACTCAGCAGTTGTCTAGGGTTGGGAAGAAACTGATGTGGGGATGTAAAAGCCTGCAAATGAGTTCAGAGATTTCTTTGACAATAATGGCCTAACAAATTGTTCTGGTGCTTGGACAGCTAATTTATATACTGAAATCATTGAATTGTACCCACGAATGGTGAACTTTGAGTCATTTAAGTGTTAGCTCAATAAAGCTAACAGGAGCAATGGCACACTCCTGTAATCCCAGCACTCGGGGAGGCAGAGGCAGGCGGATCTCTGTGAGTTTGAGGCCAGCCTGGTCTACAAAGTGAGTCCAGGACAGCCAAGGCTACACAGAGAAACCCTGTCTTGAAAAACCAAAAGAGAGGGGGGGGGAGGAGCAAGGAAAGGGAAAGAGAGAGAGGGACTGGAGTAATGGCTCAGTAGTAAATGACTCAGTACAACGGCTTAGTACTTGCAGCTCTTAGAGAGAACCCAGGTTCAGTTCCCAGCACCCACATGACCGCTTACAACCATCTGTAACTTCAACTCCAGAGGATCTGACGTCCTCCCTGGCATCTTCGGGCACTGCACACATGTGGTGCACACACACTGAATACAGGCACATAAAGTAAAACTGAAAAAGTGAGAGAGCAAGAGAGAGACAAGATAAGTAGCCAATACATGTTAGTTTCTGGCTTTCCAAATCTCTCATACAATCTCTCAGTCTAAATTCCAATTCAAGCAGTGAGCATATATTTAGTTGTTGGTGTTCTTTAATTCTATGTTTACTAAATTTTACTTTTTTAGGAGGCTAATTTTCAACAGAATTTTCCCTACATGTGTAGGATATGATCTTTATGTGTTTATATTATAAAAGGAAGATGAATGTTCAAAAGACTTCATTATATTACAATCATATAACAATATAAAAAAATAATTTTTGTGTGTCAAAAATTTAGTAAATATTGTTTTAGTAGTTGGGATATATTGTGTCATAAAACTTTTCCTGGGAAAATGCTACACACATGTTCACCCACCCCTGATAGGGAGTCATGATAGACCAATGTCCAGCTTGGAGCACCATGAATTTTATTAGGGCCACTTACAGGAATATAGGTGAGGGGTTACATATGGGAGCAGAAGTGACCCAGAGACAGCTGCATCACCAGAGCCCACCCAAGAATGGGTACTAGCTCACAGAAGCAGGGACATGGGGCACACGACACAGCCTGCGGGCAGCTCAATGGGTTGGAGAATGTCCTTTCCAAGTGACTCTGATCTAACCCATTCCCAGGAAGCTAGGACAGTTTCTTCTTCTTCTTTCAGGTAGCTGGTCTGTCTGTCTCTTTCTGCTTCTTTCTTTCTTTTCTTTCCTGCTTGGTTAGTGTATTAGCCAGGGTTCTCTAGAGTAACTTAACTTAAAGAATGAGTGTGTGTGTGTGTGGGGGGGTGTGTGTGGGTGTGGTCAGATATATACAGGCTGTGGCCCAGCTAATCCAAAAATGGCAGGGATATAAACAGAAAGTCCTAGAATCCAGTAGTTGCTCAGTTCACACAGCTGGATGTCTCAACTGGTCTTCAGTATACACTAGAATCCCAAAGAATTAGGCTCTTATGCCAGAGGAGGAATTCTCTGTCCTTATATAGGCTTCCAGAAGAAGGGGTAGCCCAGATTAGAGGTGAGTTTTCTTAGCTCAAAAGATCTGGATTAAAGGCATGTCTTCCTACCTCAAAGAGGCATATTAGAAGTGGATCTTCCTACTTCAGATTAAGCTAAAAATCCCTCACAGGTGTGTTTTTCATTTTTGGGTTTTAGTTAATTTCAGATGTAGTTAAATTGACAACCAAGAATAGCCATCACAAGTAGTCTAAGAGTAACTCTCAGCAACTTAATTGCTTACTTTAGAAGGGAGAGGCCTAGTGAATTTGGTCAGTTTCAGGGACTTCCTGAAACTATTTTTAGTTGTTTACCTGTTTGCTTAAGGAGCTCCCTGTAGGATGGAGTGCTTCAATGTATAGTTTCTTGAAACAGTTACACAATAGGAGGTAGGAATTGAAGCTTACTTGGATAAAAAGAACACAATCTTTTCCACAGACAGGAGGGAAAAATCAAGTGATGAAATTTGGCTCAGTGGTTGGTTAAGATCACTGGCTGCTCCTCCAGAGGACCCGGGTTTAATCCCCAGGAGCCACATGGCAGCTCACAATTGTCTGTAACTCCAGGTCCAGGGGATCTGACTCTCACACAGATTTACATGCGGGCAGAACACCAATGTACATAAAATAAAAATATATCATAAAAAAATAAGAAAAATAACATTTAAGAATTTTACATGTAAAAAACATTTTAGGCTTTTATTCCACGCACCTCTGTTTATAGGAAGTGTGTATATACCTGGAGAGGAGAAGGCTGGTCCCCAAGTAGCCAAAGAAGATAGAGTGTGGAGTTAGGGAGAGAGTGCATGGGAATGAGTCCCTGAGTGGACGTGATGTGATGCATTAACGTTCCTTCTCTCCTTTCCTGCAGTCCTGAAAAGGGACAGGGAAGCAATGAAAGAGTGAATGGAAGACTTGTGAATTTGCATTAATAAAATTTTTCATGTTCTATTTGTACAACAGAAGTAAAAATAATTTTAAGGCTTTGGGCCAGATTTGTTATGCAATCTGCATAAATAGCTTACTTAAGCTAGAAACTCATTGTTTTAAAAGTTAAGCCTGAATTTGTAAATGTGTGACAGGAAGATCAGAAATAAACTATGTAAATCTCTCCAGGCTGGGAATTTACAACAAAACCATCATTCACTGAAAATCTGTGTATAGTTGTACATCTGCCAAGGTAAAAAACTATTAAATACTAAAAATATTTACTATAAACTAATACTTGGAAAATTAAAGCAACCAAATCTAAAGCATTTATGAAAGTAGGCACTTTTACTTCTCTCTCTGGATCTGAAATTGTTGACCTCTGGCACTGTCTTCATTGGTTTGAAGCTGACACATTATCATGGGTTACCGTTTATGAAGTATTAGAAGTAGAGGCACCGTAAAAGAAGTCAGGCACACATTAATCATAGCACTTGGGAGGCAGAGGCAGGCAGAGCTGTGTGAATTTGAGACCAGCCTGGTCTACAGAAAAAGTTCCAGGACAGCCAAGGCTACAAGGGAAACCCTGTGTTGAAAACACACACACACAAAGATGAGAGAGAGAGAAAGGGAGAGAGAGAGAGACTAAAATGCCTCTGTATAGGAGAATACTGGAGTAGATTTATTTTCATTTTCGTTTGGCTCACTGGCTTCTTGAATACATAAAAGGCAAAGTAGAACAGCGGTAGATCTGCTTCTGTAACTGTTGCTTGTGTGTATTTTGCAATTTAAGAAACTAGATTATAAACTTAGAGAGATCCTAATACCTATAGTATCCTAACACCTATATAATGGCTATAATCATCTAAGTATTTTTCTATGTAACTAACTAACTAACCTGAAAAGCTTTCAGTGATTTCTTATGGTTCCGAATAGATGCTGCACAGAGAGCTTCAACACATAACCCGCTGCCCATTTCTTACTCACAAAGCAGGATGAGAATATCCTAGTGCGTGCTCTATTGAACTAAACTTTCATCTACTTGTTTCTTAAAGGTTTAATGAAGAGGCTAGAGGAGGAGATAAAATTTAATTCATATATGGTCACCGAAAAGTTTCCAAAAGAATTAGAAAACAAGAAAAAGGAATTACATTTTTTACAAAAAGTGGTTTCTGAGCCAGCTATGGGCCACTCTGACCTTCTTGAACTTGAGTCTAAAGTAAGTAATTAGCATTTCTAGTTCCCAACTGTATAACTGTATCTGTTGTGTGGAAAGGACCCGCACTGTTTTCTGTGGTGACCTACTCCTGACTCAAGAGCTAGCCTGGGCTAAGGGTTGACATCTTTGCTGATGAGTTGTCCTTGTGAGTATTCTAGAATGTTGTATTCTGACTTCAGAATAATAATAATATAAGTTTTTGTTTTTCAATGCAATAGGGTAGCTTTGTATTTAAAGCTTTTCATGTATGCTTTGACTAGACTTTGTTTCAGTGTTCAGTGAATCTGGTAACATATTACAACATCTTGTTCCCTATAAATAAAACACTAATCATTTGCATATTTTAAAAGTTTTCATGAAAATTGAAAAGGTTTTATATGATGAGTCCTTAATTTATTTAATAGACTCTACAATTAAATGTCTAATTCTGACCATATCACTTTTTTAATTCACTTACACAACATAGATATCCAAGACAGATGTGGCTTAAATTTAAGGGGTTCAGTCTTTTGAAGGAGGGGTATACTGAAAGCCATGTTTCATTTTGTTTTTCTTTGTTGAGAGACTGGTGTTACTCTGTTTTGTTACTTTAGAAAGGGTTAATGATCAGTATAAATGATATCTATCAAAGCTGCAGACCATTCATATAGTAGGAGTTCTGGATGGTCCATGTCATCTCTTAGCTGGGCTTATGAACTCCCTGTCCTCTGTCTCTGGGGAATGTCTGGGTTCATGTTGTAACTTAGTGATTTGTAAGTGATAGCTGAGGTGTGTGAGGTTTGTAGGAAGCACCTTTCATGTAATAATGTAAGATATTTCCTATAAATGCTTCCTATAAATGCATTCTGATTCAATCTATAGATGTAATCAAATTGTACAAGTATTTATTATTAAATTCAAATTGTTTCTAAAAGTACATACACTAATTAGAACTTTGCTATCAGTGGCTTTAGTGAAGGTAAGACCTGTAAACTCAAGCTGAGTGTGGCTTGGTGTTTCTACTGAGTTCATTTAGTTTACATAACCACAGAGAGGGTTGTATGTTTGTCTGGTTGGTTGGTTTTTTGAGAGAGTTCCACTGTATGGCTAAAGCTGATCTTAAACTATCTATCCTCCTGCCTCAGCCTCTCTAGTGCAAGAGTTTTCAAGTGTGCACTACCACTCCTGGCTGTCATAGGGAGAGTTTAACATGCTTCACTTTATCCTCTTTTAGGTCACTGAAATAAACACAGAGATCAATCAGTTGATTGAAAAGAAAATGATGAGAAACGAGCCAATTGAAGGGAAGCTCTCACTGTATAGGCAACAGGTATGACCTTTCTCCTGGGCCACATCTTTATGTTACTTATGGGGAAAGCTGTGTTATTTGTAGTCTAAGGGGAGGAGGACGTACAGAAGCAAAGCCTCTCAGTCACTGCTAATCTCCGTGTTATAACAAAGAAATAGCAGAGACTCTGGGAAGGCAGCAGTTCAGGTTTGAAGTGCAGTGTGCCAGTTTCTGCGAATGTGGAATTCTGTCTTCTGAATGGCAAGTTTATGTTAGATGGTTTAAGTCAAAATATAGGTACACTCTCAGATTGAAGTATTGATTTGTTAGCTTCAGTTTTGCCATTCGTTTTTTAAAATTTATTTATTTTTATGTACATTTTGGTGTTTGGCATATATCTAAGTATGTATGAAGGAGTCGGAGGCACTGGAATTTGAGTAACAGACCAGACAGCTGCCATATGGGTGCTAGGGACTGGACAGGTGTCCTCTGGATGAGCAGCCATGCTCTTACCCGCTGAGCCAGCTCTCTAGCCCCTTGCCATTCATTTTTTTAAGATATGTAATTATATGATATACACGTTTCACCTCTCAGATTCTTGTGTTTGTTGTCTGTTGGAGGTAAATAACAGTTTCCACAGTGTTGGACATGGGGAGATCCTGGGGACCTGGTCCTGTGAGGCATGCTCATGTTTCTCTGTTACATGAAGTTTCAGTTTCCACATAGTGCTACTCCATTCCCTTGTCTTTTAACATGGAAGACTTGCATATAGGGAAACATTCCTTCATTGTTTCCTATTCATTCATTCATTCGTTCATTCATTCATTCATTCGGGGGTGGTTGTTTGGTTGTTTGGTTGGTTTTGGTTTTTTGAAAGACAGGGTTTCTCTTTGTAGTGTTGGCTATCCTGGACTTGCTTTGTAGATCAAGCTGGCCTCGAACTCACAGAGATCCACCTTCCTCTGCCTCCCCGAGTGCTGGGATTAAAGGCGTGAGCCACTGACTTGGCATTTATATATTTTTTAATTAAAAAAAAAAATAGGACTTCTAAAGGGTTTCGCTAGAGAATACCCCTCTCTTGTCACATTTGTTTTACTTGATGGTATTTGTACTATGTCACAATTTGACTGATATCTCTCAGGAACATAGACATTGTGATTCATCTTAGAAAACTCCCCCAAAGCTGGGTATAGTGCACAGACCTTTAATCCCAGCACTCAGGAGGCAGAGGCAGGGAGACCTCTGTGAGTTCAAGACCTGTCTACATAGCAAGCTCCAGGACCAGATACAGGGACCCTGCCTAAAAAATAAATACATAAGCCAACAAATGAAAAAAAGAAAGAAATTTCCTGAGTTGTAGCTCATACAAACCCTTGTGCACCTGTAAGAGTGCATGCTTGGGTTATGTACACATATACAATTCTAATGACTCTCATTTTTTACTCTTTTTTTTTTTTTTAATGTAACAGTGTTCTGCCTGCATTTATGCCTGCGCTCCAGAAGAGGGCACCGGATCTCATTATAGATGGTTGTGAGCCACCATGTGGTTGCTGGAACTTAGGCGCTCTGGAAAAGTAACCAGTGCTCTTAACCTCTGAGCCAGCTCTCCAGCCCTCAGTTTTGACTTTTAACCAACATTTTATTCAATAAAATGCTGGAGCAATGTCTCTGCAGTTAAAAGCACTTGCTGCTCTTAGAGGAGGCAGTTCTGTTCCCAGCACCCAGGTCAGGCAGCTCACTGCTGCCGGTGACTTCAGCTCCATAGGAGGAAACGGCTCTGGTCTCTATGGACCTCCACAGGCACGTGGCCTGCGTGTGTGCAAATAAGCAAATCTTAGGCTGGAGAGATGGCTCACAGGTTAAGAGTACCTGCTGCTCTCACAGAGAATACCAGTTTGGTTCCCAGCACCCACATGGCAACTGACAACCTCCTGCAGCTCCAGTTCTGTGCCCTCTTCTGACCTCCATGAGCTCATACACACACATGGTGCCATGCAAACATGGAGGCATACACTCATACACATACACGTAACAGAAATATTTATAAAAATAAAATAAATCTCTCTCTTTTTTTTTTTTTGGACAGGGCTTTTCTGTATAGTCCTGGCTGTTCTAGAACTTGCTCTGTAGACCAGAATGGCTTCAAAGTCAGAGATCCACCTGCCCAATAGCCTCCTGAGTGCTGGGATTAAAGGCACGCACCATCATTGCCCAGCTAAAATAAATCTTTTTAATGTACCAAATGTAGTAGATATTTCACCTTTCATTTTTAAAATATTGATTGGTATTGACTTTAGTGAGCTGAACTGCATTATAGTTCTGAAAATAACATATTCATATTTTCTTCCAATGAGTGGAACCAACTGTGCAGAGAAATAGACTGAGTTTTATTCTGTGCATTTCCCTAGAAGGTATTTTCATTGCTTTTCAGTGTTACTAAGAAGGCTTGAATATTTTTACTTGTGTGTATTTGGGTTTTTTAAGTGTTTTTTCTTCAGGGCTTTTGTTTTTCAGAATGTTTTGAGTTTGGCAATACACATTTTGCTTGTGGTAAACACTGATAAGGGAACAGTAGAGCAAGTAGTATTGGTCAAGAGCAGGAAAGCTGAGACTGAAAATTCATATTGGTGAAAATCCAAAATTAGGTAATTTTACAAGATAACAGAAAACTGAATGCATTTCTTATTTTATTCTTATATTAAATACTCGACTAGGCATCCATCATCTCTCGTAAAAAAGAAGCCAAAGCCGAGGAACTTCAGGAGACCAAGGAGAAGCTAGCCAGCCTGGAGAGAGAAGTGTCAGTCAAGACAAACCAGACCCGGGAATTCGATGGCGCTGAGGTTTTGAAGGGAGATGAGGTAAGCTGAGGCATCTCATGGGTCAGGGTTATGACAATGACGTTTTGTTTGAAATCACTGACTTGCTCAACTTTCTTAAGTGTGTGTCAATAAATTAATCTCATTTTGCAAGACTTACTGAGAGCTGAAGTCTTAAATATTTTTTTAAGGTAACATTGAAATTGTCTTGGTATAAGATACATAAGACTGGTGTTTTGCCAGACAGTATTCTAGAATTTCACTTTTCTTTTTATTTAAATTGTGTGTGTGGGTATGTGGGTGAGTGCAGGTGCCTGCGGAGGTCAGAGGTGTTGGATCTCCTGGAGCTGGAGCTACAGGCAGTTGTGAACCATCTGATGTGGGTGCTGGAACTCAGACTCAGTGCTCTGAAAAAGCAGGGCAGCTCTTACCACTGAGCCATCTCTCTAGCCCCAGGTCTTTCACATTTTACTATGTGAATTTATATTGGATTTATTTAAGTGTTAAATTATAAAAGCAAAGCAAAACTAGTAGAGCCAAGTAGGTAATAAAAATTTGTCTTTGTTGATGAATGTATTTCCGTAAAGAACTAAGAAAACCTTATCACTGAATTATTGTCAGCAGTATATGTTTGATTAGCACCCATGAAAATTACTTCATTCCTCAAGCTTCCAAGCTTTAAAATAGTGTATTTCTATGTTTTGAGCAATGCTTTAATAGTTACATTTATTGCATCAGACTTGTAAGTTAGTGGGGCAAATAACACTGGTTTCTGATGCCTGTACTCAAGCAACAACAACAACAACAAAACATTCTTCATCCTTTTCCATCAAGTTAACTCAAGAGCAACTGAGGGTAAAGCTGGGCATCTTGACTAAAGCCCAGAGTCTTGCCCCACCCAGGGCTTTCCTGCATAGCAGTTCAAGTGACAGGCCACACCTGGATGCCCACCCCTGCCCTGGACTTGGCTCAGTCCTACAGGCTATTGCATTTTCATCTTAGCTTCTAGACTTTAACAAAGGCTACTCTGAAAAGCTGTATCCAAACCTCATTTTGGACTTTGAAAAGCTCTTGAGTTCATACTGTGAAAAATTGGCAGTGTTCCTTCACTGTGCCAAACACAAACAAATTGTTCCCCTGCTGCAGATTTTTCTCTCCAGTGCTTCTGATTATAACCTTCCAAAGTGGTTTTTAGTCTGAAGGAGAAGTAACGATTTTAGGATGGCAACATTTGATTGAAAAAAGCCCCTTTGGGAGACTCATGCCAGTCGTTGTCACATCACTGGGAACCTGGGCAGCAGTACTGATGGGGCTCTGGGGCTGCCCCAGGCTACAGTGTCTCAAGAAAACCAAAACCCAAATTTCTTTTCTTTTAGCATCTACTTCCAGATGGCTATCAGACAGCATACTTTAAATGATGTTTAGAAGCTGAGCATGTGATTTGTGGCGTCTTTGATGTCCAAGAAAGAAAAAGGTTAATCACACAGCGGTTTTGCTTACAGGGGCCGGTGCTCCTCTCTAGTGTTTTTATCTAAGCGAAGGCCCAGTGACAGGAGACCCAGAGTGCTGTGACCACAACGCCGTGAATCATGCACTCTCTCTATGCAGAGGTGAGGGAAGGGACCCAGGGACAAGCTGTGAGCCTTCATTTTCCAGACATGTTGTGTAGTGACATCTGATGGTAGGCCAAGAGTAGTTTTTAAGTGGGAAAAGGTAGCTTTAGAAATGCCATGGTCAATTTTGTTTTTAAGTAATGTCTGAGCAAAACTAGAGCAAAACAAGTAAATTACTTGGCAATTACCTAAAAGAACAGAAGGTATTGGGGAACATTATGCATAATTTTATAAAGAACAAATCTTGGTAGACCAATTTTATTTTCAACTTTGATAGAATGATACGCCATATGGGCAAAAAGGAGGAAGCTTGTTCTACTTCAAATTATGTAAGATACTCGGTAGGTCTTCACTGAAGCTTCTCATTTGGCATAACCAAAAAAACCTCATATTTAAATTTTTATCTGTCAAAGCACTTGGTGAACAGGTGTTAAAAAATAGTGGCACAAAGCTGGGTAGTGGTGACTTATGCCACTAAACACAGCATCCTGTAGTGCCTTGAGGCAGGGGGATTGCTAAAAGTTTGAGGCCAGTCTGGCCTACATAGTGAGTGCCAGGCCAGCTGGGACTACATAGACTCTGTCTTAGTGTCTGAGAGAGATGGAGATGGAAAGTTGTGTAGTATTTGAAAAGAATGCCGTGACTGAACCACATGCAGTGTGAGGAAGCAGGGCTGACAGTTGTGAGAACTTCTTGTGCCAAGCTCTGTGCTGGATGTTTTACACATAACTTGTTTTCTTCTTAAACGAACATTATTCTCATCTTATACAGAAGCTAGATTCAAGATGGAGTAAGGTGGCGTTGTTAAGAATTATTTAGCAGCTGTACACTGGCTAGTTACTCTGTGTTCATTCTTTGGTAACGTCCAGCAGTAGGAATGCACTTGAGACAGTAATCTTGTTAACGTAGAGTAAGAGACATATAGAACAGCAGTGAAGCACCAATGAGCATGTCTGTTAAAACCATGCCCACTTAAAACTTTTTATGTTCACAGTGTTTTGTATGTCTGTGAGCCATGTGTGCTCCTGGTGTCTGTGGAGACCAGAGGGAGGAGCTGGAACCCCTGGGGTTAGCCAGATGGGGTGCTAGGAATCGAATCTAGGTCTTCTGGAACTGCAGAGCTGACTTTCCAGCCCCTGAGCAGATTCTTTTGCTATGAAAATTGGACTGCTTTCTATCCCCAATCCAACTCTTCCAAAGAAAAAAACAACTGATAATACATTGTTAAATCATTTTAGGTGTTTCTCTAGAGACAGAAAGAGAAATGCTGTTGTTCTGTGGGTTTGAGGAATTTGAGTAGTTTTATGCCATGTTTACTGTGCATCTTGTCTCTAAAAGCATGTCTTGCAGATGTTTTCCTGTTAGTACAGAAAAGAGACCAAAGAATCTCCCAGAACACCTGTGTAGCTTCTAAAACTAATAATTGCGTCTATTTTTGACACGTTCTAATGTGGTTTCATTTGTTCTAACAATTGAAAGAGTTTAAACTATTAACTTAGCTCTTATTTGAATTTTAAAATTCCTTTATGGTGTTAGCTTTTTGTTTTCCTCAAATGTTTTGTAATTTAGATTATATTCCCATTTTTCTGTTAATGATAAGGATTTTGAATGGCCCACAGCTTCTGGGGTGGGCTTTCATCTTAATTATTGTCAGCGGAGTGGCACAATGGTCTGAAACCAGACAGCTGGAACACGTTCTCATCCCTTATCTGCCTTCAGCTACCTCAGTTATGTTTTTATCTGAATGACATATCAAGGTTGCAGTAAGAGTTTGTTTGGGAATAAAATTCCACTCTTAAAAAGGATTTGAAAATCAATGAATTAATAAGTGGGAACCACTCCGCAAGGAACATAGATATTTCCCAGTGTGACTTTTCTAAATTTTATCACTTATAAAAGAAACCACATTTTGATCTGTAAGTTAGTTTGATATTAGATTCTAGTAACAATCCTCATGTGAAGAGCTGGAGAGATGGCTCAGTGATTAGAAGCTCTGGCTCCACAGCCTACCCCGGTGGCCCACACCTGTAATCCCAACACTCTTGCAGGCAGAGGCAGGTATATCTCTGTAAGTTCAAGGCCAGCCTGGTCTACAGTGTAGTCCAGGACAGCCAAAGCTATACAGAAAAACCCTGTCACAGAAAAAAAAAAAATAAATAAACCTCTGGCTCTTCTTCCATGGGACCCCAGGTTCACTTCCCAGCACCCACATGGAGTCTGTAACTTCAGGGGAACCAGTACCCTCTTCTGGCCTTTATGGACACCACACATATATGATACATAGACACACTCCACACATAAAATAAAATTTAAATCTAAAAAACAGGTTTTTTGTTTTCTGTTTTGTTTTGTTTTTGAGACAGGGTTTCTCTGTGTAGTTTTGGCTGTCCTGAAACTCTCTCTATAGTCCAGGCTGGCCTCAAACTCACAGAGATCCACCCGCCTCTGCCTCCCAAGTGCTGGGATTAAAGGTGTGTGCCACCACCACCCCGATAAAAATCAATTTAAAACTTCATATGGTTGTATCTTAGGACTAGGTTTAAAGTGCAAATCACTGCCATTATTCCAAGTTAAGACTTCAGATATTGGAACAGGATCTTAAGATCTTAAGATATTGGAAAGGATCTTACCTTTTTGATGTTTTTAAGTGTTTTATAATTTTTCACATAGAAATATGGTATTGGTGAGAGTGAAGCTCAAACAGCAGCAGAGAATGCTGCAGTAATGAGAAGCAGGACTGTGACCAGTGTCATCGGTGACAGGTTGCTGCTGTCAGTGTGCTCTTCTGGAAGTAGCAGAAAGGTGTTAGCTTAAGTGGACTTTCTTCCACGATGGACTCTCGAATACTGTTTTCCTGCTTCAACGCTCCTTCACTGTGGCCTCCCAGGAGGTATTCTGACAGCGCCTTTTCTGGAAGGGTATAGTATATAGCTCTCTTGAGGCCACTTGTTCAGTTTCAGCCTCCTAAAAAACCAGTAAAGGCTCTAAAGATACGTGTTAGGTACCAGACACTTGGAATGAAAGCTAGCTAGCTTCCTTGCTTGTTTCTTCCCCCTCTCTTCCTTCCCTTTCTTCTCTCCTTCCTTTATATCTACATGGTCTCGCTATGCAGCCTATCTGCCCTGGAACTCAATATGTAGACCAGGATGGTCTCAAACTTACAGAGCTCTGCCTGCCTAATGAAAGGTTTCTTTTTTTTTAAATCAGGATATTAATATCAACAAATGTCTTGATGCTATTTTGTAAGCTTCTGTTGATGAGTAAGATTAATCATTCTTCACTCTAACCTTGGCTGTTTACATCCTCACATAGTTTTATATTCCTGATCACAAACTTAAATTTTCTATTTAATCTGGTAGCCTCTAGCCAATCCTTTTGATTTGATTTTTGCCATTTCTTAGTCAACAATCTAAGCTTGTACAGTATGCT